GTTCATCAGCAGCAAAAGTTCACTTGATCCTTCCGAAAAAATGGGTCCCTCCACTTCTCCATTTCTCCTCCACTTACCTCTTTTCATTCCTCTTTTTTGGCGCCCCGGGCTATGCTGAAATCTTGTTTTTCATTAAAAATGTCTATACTTCTTCGCTCCTCTTTTTCGCCGTTTCTCGCCGCGTTCGTTCTTCTCCGAACGAAGGATGTCATCGACGTCTTCTTCTTCTTTTCAGACGCCGTCGTCGTTGCAGAAGCGAGTGGAAAAGTAGGAGGCGAATAAAAAAGAAGAGCTCACATTTATTGTCAGAATAAAAGAAGGCCTAAGAAGAAGAAGGCGTGGAGAAGAGCACCGAGCCGACGCGGAATTTTCTATCCTGCGCACTCGGCCGAGTATGTCTCCATCTTGTTCATACAACTCATTTTTATGACTTACACAAAACAAAATAGACAAACTTTTTCTGATTCCCCTTTTTGCACTTTTATTTTCACCGGAAATCAGATGACACTTCCTCATTCTTTTCGCCGAAATATTTTTGCCTTAAACCCGCCTTCTTCTGTTCATTCCAGCTTTTGGTTAAACTTTGAAGACGTCTGACCACCAAAAAAAAAGAGTGTTGCGATTTCCGGTCCTTTTTAGAAATTCTCAAAGAGCAAGTCCCCCTTTTTGTCTGCAGATTTTCAAGTCTATTACAATTTCCAAAATCTTTTTTCTGGTGTTTCCAATTCTCTGACTTCTAGAGTCACCAGCAACCACCACGACCACTACAATTATCTCTCACCGTCATAGCTCTTCTTTCTCTCTCTATTCATAACTCCTCTTTCTCACAAAAGCCCTTCTTCATAATTGGTGGGAAAACTTCTCTCAAGACTCTTAGAGCATTTGTGAGTCTTCGTCACTCATACACCCCAACGCTGCCTATCAGAAGAACGAGAAGTTGCTCCTCATTTTTCTCTATTTTTCTTATTCATTCAAAAATCTTCCGCCTTTTTTCTCCTCTAATTAGTTCGATGTGGCAAAAAACCTGAGAATGAGAAGGCGATGCGACGACATTAGGAAATAAAAACATTACATATTTTTTCACAATCTGACGATTCTAATTTGAAGAAAAAACATTTCTTTGAATATGAGCGGATAGGCATCTTTCGAAAAAAAAAAGGAGGAGCTCTCAACTCAAATTTGGTCAATTTCGCGGCTTCGTCTTCTCTTAACTCGCCTTTTCTTAACTTACGTCTCTCCTTTTTTCTGAAAAACTCCACACACATTTCTTCATTTTCTATGAAGTATGACCAATACCTAGGGAAAAGTTCATTCCAATTTCCGCCTGATTCGTCAAATTCACGAAATTCAAATCTCGGTCAAACCGCCTCCGAAACTCCTCCTTATTCAGATGAGAGATATAGAAGTTTGCAGAAAAAAAGCAACGTTGTTTCTATCTCTTTTTCATTCTCTCTGCTCCACTCCCGAATTCTCCCTCCCGATTTTTTAATATTCAAAATCTAGTGTATATACATATGAAGGAAATTTCTTCTGCAATCCGTCCATCTTCGGACGACCGGAGCATCCGGGGCGGATCCAAGAGAGGTATCCTCATTGCAATAACACTGCATCGCCTTCCTCTTCTTTTTCTCTCCTCGAATTGAATGAATTCAATTGGACGGACGACTGAATTTATAAAGAAAATATGAATATATGGGGGGGAGCTTTTAATGATGCTTCAGTTTGATCTAGACATCCACGTAGGTGTTTGTTTTTTCCGGAAAACCTTATCTAGTTTAACTAAAACGTTTTCAAATGCTCTCATCATAATAAGGATAAGTTTAGAAAAACAATAAACTCGAAGGCCTTATTTTTCAAACTCTTTGCCTCTTTTCACCTCAAAACACACACATTTGCAAT